GTTAGAGCAGGGTGCCCACCTGCCTGGCCTCTAGTTACTGCAGGCTTCAGGACTTCTTTTCCAGAGATATCTGAAGTCATAAGCATTTCCAAATGCACCCATCTGATAAAGTTGGCTACATTCTGTAACAGTTTTCATGATCTTCCCAAGCAGTTCACCTCTTTATTGCATGTGGTGAGACAAAAGTTGGTTCTTGCTATCTTTGGTGAGATAAAAGATGCTGGCTCTGATAGTGAAACAGCTTTTTGCACCGTCCCATTGTTACTTTTGGCAGAGCCAACCTGGTAAATCTGCCAAACAAAGAAGAAAATGCAGTAAGAAAAAGACTATTGTGTTTCAGCAGAAATAGAGTTTGACTTTCAGTTGATGTCTAATTAGGGTCTTAAACAGAAAAGTTAGAAACTACCTGTTCAGTATTTCAGTCTTGATGGACACATTTTAAAACCTAAGCTAGTTAGTGTGGTGAGTACAAACAGGACCAATGTGACCTAAGAATTATTGAGGGGAAATTTTGAGCCCCTGGCTTAGAAAATTGATCCTGTGAAAATGGATCAAGCGTGATAGGAATGAAAATAGTTAAAGCCTCAACTCCTACAAATTTCTTAATTTTAGAAGTGTTGGAGAAGCTGCTGTAGAGCTAAACAGAAATGGGCTTTTATATATTGCACTGCCTGTGGAATGTTATGTATCGTGGGTATTGCTATTGAAATAGAGAAACTGGAGGTGATTGCTTGTATGCAGCTGTACAGGGATAGGCACTGAATTTCTGGGTGTGCTGTGCATCCTAACAAAAAGTATAATTTGGACAAAAATACATGTGCTGACTGCTTGAAACCTGCTTTCCACCGTTTTCAGATGTTTAGAGTTAGAATTAGAGAAATTATTGTAGTTGTTTTGGTTTGCCAATTCGAGATTTCCCAGCCAATGCAGCAAATCATGTGGTGGGCTGGGTGCTGGCTAAATGCACTCACTAGAATGTACTCACTCATTTCCTGCTGTGAGGCAGGATCAGGAGGAAGGCAAAGCAGGCTCAGAACTTTAAAAAGGTATGAAGAAAACTTTATTAGCAGTAACTAAAATGAAGAATAATAAGAATCAAAATAAAACTTTCAGAACATTTCTCCTCCCCCCTGCAACCTTTTCTTTCCCACTAACAATGTACAGAGCAATTCAGCCAGTTTATCACCTCTAGGACAACCTTTCTTCAGTTCTCTTAGGGAGAGGAGTGTCCCTTGCCATGCCATGGAGACTTCTCCACAAGAAGCAGTTCTGTCGTAGTGTTTAATTTTCACAAATGGCAGCTGTCTGGAAAATCTGCAGTTGTGAAGTCCCTCCCATCTTTCTGCAGCCTTCTCACACTTGTGTTTATAGGCCACATCAGCTTATGGGGTACTGTTGTAAGGATGAGCTGTTTAAGAGTAAAGGTTCTCTTTATCTACTTTTGAAATCATCTCTGAGAACAGAGGTGGTCTTCTTCTCTGCCTGGGGGCACAGAGTCTTCATCACTCCTCTCTCTCTCTGTCCAAACTTCTCTACTTCAACATCTGCTTACTTTTAGCATAGATGCCTTTGCTCTATTTTCAATTTGAATGCTTCATCCCGCATACTTTTCAATGAGTTATGGAGAAAAAGAGTCTGATGTGTCAATTATATTCTTCTCCATAGCTTTACAAGAGGATTTCAGCTTAAACTTAAGGCATCTCCCCATTCTCCTGCCATATGGGACTCGATTCTTTCTTTACTGACCTTGGTGTCTGCATGTTGTTCCTCTACGTGTCCTCACTCTGTCCTTTTCTCTCACTCGAGGGAGGACTGAAGGTCTACAAGCCTTGTTTGGGCCCTGAAAGAGTTAAGATCTCACCTGGGAGTTGCAGATGGTGATTCCTCAGGGACGTGAGCCCTGCTGGGCGCTGGCTTGAGCACTTGTGGTGATAGTGATGGCTCTTCAGGCCAGAGCACTCATGGTGATGGTGATGGTTCTTCAGGCCAGAGCACTCCTGGTGATGGTGATGGTTCTTCAGGCCAGAGCACTCCTGGTGATGGTGATGGCTCTTCAGGCCAGAGCACTCCTGGTGATGGTGATGGTTCTTCAGGCCAGAGCACTCATGGTGATGGTGATGGCTCTTCAGGCAGCACTGGGGCTGTGTCAGAATCTCAGCTCCAGCCAGGGGCTGCTTTCTGCCCAGGCTGCAGAGCTGCCTTGGTTTCTTTGGTGGCCACACCGTGTGGAGAGCCGGGATCTCAGCAGCCAGGTGTTGAGTTCGTGAGGGTCCCCAGGATGAGGTGAGATATGAGGAATCTGACTCCATGTTCTCAGAACACTGATTTATTATTTTAGGGTATTATATTAAAGAATGCTATAGTAAAACTGTACTAAAGAAAAAGAAGGATACAGAGAGAAGGCTAGAAAAGAATGAACAATAAAAACTCGTGACTGACTCAGAGTCCAACACAGCTGATGGTGATTGGTCATTAAGTAAAAATAATTAATGTGGTGGATAAAGCAATCTCCAGACCTCATTCCAAAGCAGCGAAACATGGAGAAGCTGAGGCTTCTCAGCTTCCCAGGAGAAAATACTGGGCAAGGGGATTTTTCTAGAATATATAACAGTGACAGCCAGGCTTGGACTCAGCAGCCAATGAGACCTGGACTCTCCCTTGACCCTGCCTGCAGCTGCTGGTGCCCGGCCCGGCCCTACCTTGGCTGGGGCTTCAGGGCTCCCCTGCCCGGCCCTGCCTTGGCTGGGGCTTCAGGGCTCCCCTGCCCGGCCCTGCCTTGGCTGGGGCCCCGTGGCCTCCCCTGCCCGGCCCTACCTTGGCTGGGGCTCTGTGGCCTCCCCTGCCCGGCCCTGCCTTGGCTGGGGCCCCGTGGCCTCCCCTGCCCGGCCCTACCTTGGCTGGGGCTCTGTGGCCTCCCCTGCCCGGCCCCTGGCCCAGGAGGAGAAGGGAATTGTTGCAGTTCAGGGAGTCCCTTTGGGCGACCTGCACTTTCAGGGCCTGGAGCACGCTGGCTAGAAATGAGCTAGCAAACAGGGCAAGGATGGGTCTTTGTCGGGAGATCCAAAGGGTGCTTATTCTAAGAGGGTACAGGGACAAAGACAAAAACGGGCGCAGGGTAAAATAAAGGGAAGAAGGGGTGGATCTGAGGGACAAGGGCCAGTGGAAACAGGGAAATTGGTGCAGGGAGGAGCAGTAAACCAGGGAAACCAGTAAGGCAACAGGGGTGGAGCAATGTGGCAAATGAGAGCCAAAGGGGATCAGAAAAGGAGAGAACATTCTAGGGGGAATGCTAATATGGAAAAGGGGGTTGAACAGCCGTGACATCAACTAGGGGAGCCAATGAACCTTAAACCATTAATGTGTGGTTGCAGAGGCTCAGGGGAGGGAGGCTTTTCTCACCCTGACCCCAGAGGGGGGTTTCTCATAGCCTGGTTCTGTCCTTCCAAGCTTGAAGTGCTGTAGTCTCTGCTGCAGGCCTCCCAGCCTCAGCAGGGAAGAACTGTTCTTTACAGGCACCAGAGGACAGACAGCTTTTCCTGAAGTTCATTTCTAACATGTGTGTTCACAGGGGTGTGTTCAGCTTTCTAGTGGTTTAACAATGCGTCTGTCTTCAAAACCAGTCACTGATTGGTGGTTTTAGGCATGGAGGAAGCTCTCAGCAGCTCCTCTCAGAAAAATTGTTTCCGTGGGTGGCATCTTCCTGCCTCACCAAATGTCAATTAATGCAAAACCAGCAGAATTATTAATTACAACTTGCATCCCCACTTTTGTAAATGTGTCTCCCAGCACATAGGTGCTGCCTGTTTGATTCCAGCCTTGATGCCTTTTGCTCCTGGCAGTATCAGAGCTTCTGCTCTTTTCCTGTTTGTAACAAATGTTTGTTACCAAGTCAGGAACCCAGCTGAACAAAATGGGGCAGGCAGAATTCTCATTGTTACTGCACCAGCATATTCTAGTCTATTACAGTATCTTGAAAAGTCTTTTTATGAAGTTTTCAAGGGCAGTGCAACTGTGCAACTTGAACAGTTTCCTCCTTTTCCAGGAAGGGAAAGATAACTTGTAATATATTTCATTTGGGATGTTGGAGTTTTTTTCTTCTTTTCGTGTTGCTCTTCCCGTGCTTTTTAATTCTCTGCCATGCTCAGCAACAAGGGTGTGTTGTTTTTATTCTCCCCATGTTCTGCGTGACGTTTGGTTGTCTTAAAATCATTCCCCCCTTTATAAATAAGCAGTATTCAGAAGGAAAAAAGGGAAATGCAAGGTGAATGTTGAGCTTCTACCCAGCATATGTGTTAGTTTAATTTAAAAATGTTGATGTGTATTACATCAGTAAATGTCCATATTAGGAAAAAGCCTCTCTAGCTAATTGACTGCAGAAGTATCTGTAGAAAAAATCACTTTGGGATCCAGTGTTTGCATCTTCAGTTAGTTTTTTCTGAAAGAGATGAAATCTCTCCTCATGTGGATATAATTTCTGGTTTTAGTCTGAACTGACTAAGCACAACCAGACTGTTGCTTTTATCTAGCTGTAGTATGTGTTGTGTCCTGTACCTCTGATCCTGAAAGACACAGCTGTTGTTCTGGAAAACCCTCCCACTTTTATAAGGCAGAGGCTGGTATTCTCTCTCTCAGTGGAGACGCTCCATAGCAAGCTCTTGATGTTAAACTCAGAACTGAAATGATGTTGCTGTTCTGATAAGTGTGTGAGTGAAAACCTCCTTGTATTTGATATACAGCAAAGTGAAAGAGTGTGATTTTCCAACTAAAAGCAAAATGTTGGGATTTTTCTGTCCTCTTCGATCAGCTTCCTAATTTATGAAGCTGAAATGGAAGTTGGTCTAAGCAGCATCTGACTGATACTTCTGCTTGAGAAGAGATCCAAAAGCTGAGCAAACTTCTGTTTGGAGAAAAGGAATGCTGCTTTGCTATGTTAAATAAAACATAAGATTTAATTTCTGAAGAAATAATTATTTCATTGGTTTTGTCTGTTTTTGGTACAGGTCATTAATGCTGCTTTAGCTCTTGCTGCCAGACCAAAAAGTCAAGTTGTGAAAAACAACATGGAGATGTACAGGAGTACGTGGGAGAGTCACATCCGTGTTCTTACTGAGGCTGTGGATGATATAACAAGTATTGATGATTTCCTTGCTGTGTCAGGTATGATCATTTTCAGAATCCAATTGTTCTTCTATATGCTTTGAACATTTTTCATCACTTTTCAATAGGAAACCAGCAAAAGATGAGATTTTATAGTGATTTTTGAAACCATTGCTGTTGTTTCAAATGTCCCCTCCCAGTGGGTGTGCATTTCTCCATCCCCACAGCTCCATTTACCTCTGCAGTTCCAGGTCCTCTCTGCAGCTGTGAGAAGTCTCAAGAAAAGGAATTCCACATTTCTGTGCATGTACCTTAAAGAGGTTCTTGAGAGACCCTGTGTTCCAGTTCCTGTGCAATGCACAGTAGAATTTCTGGAATTTTCAGAGTCACAGATATCTGTCACACAAAATAGACTTTTACAGATCTCTTCAATGAACAGGCCTTGGGTAGTAAACTGTATTTACTGAAGCAGTGAGTGTCTTCATCATTTAAAAAGAAGAGTGAAAGCAGTTGTTTCACTTTTTGTGTTTAAAGATCCCAGCTCTGAAGTAAGGTTCTGCCCTCACTGGCTCACTTTCCTCAGTGAGGAAAACAAAAGCATTTCCTTTGCTCAGTGCCTGTTTTTGGTGCTGATCCTGCTAAAATACACCTTCATATGCATAGTTTAGAAATCCTTGTGTACCTGACATGGACTTGGGTCTGAGTGTAGAAGATTTTACTGCAAATAGTGTGGCTTAGTTATTCATGGTTACTCTCCTGTGTGTATCTCAGCATCTTCATACAGAGTAGCAGAAGCTGAGAATTATTTTCTGCCTGTGTAATTTAGCCTTTGATGGAAGTGCTTTATGAACCTGCCTCTTGCTTATAGTGCAAACCTTGCCTGTTCTTCAGATTTCATGAAATTTATGCAGGTATTGCTAAAGCTGTTAATAAAGAGATGAAACAAGTCAATTTCTAATGAATTAAATACATGAATCTCTTTAAAACTCGGGAGATTTCATAGTAGGTTAAAGTCTTCTGTCAGATTTATTGAGCTAAATGATTATTTTTATCTATACAGTTATGATTCATTAAAATAGCACATTTCAGTTTGGTTTTTTTTTCTAAAATTTCTTGGACTTGAAGAATAAAATTAAGCATCCCAATAATAGTTGTGTAGAAGAAAAATCTGTCATTGGGCAGCTGCTCATTTCAGAGAAGACTCCTGGCTTTTTGGTGTATTTACATTCTTTGGTTGCACACATTTAAGTGATTGACTATTTCACAGTAAGTAAAAGCAGAAACTAATTCAGGTAGCACTGATGTGTAGGCCTACATGCCATGAAGTCCAAGAAAGGTAAACATTGCTGTATTTCCATTAAATTGTGTGCAGAACATCTTCTGTAAGCTTTGGTAGAGCCCTTTGGCCCATGTTAATTTAATTTGTTTAAACTTCAAGTGTCATGCTTGTTCTTAAGGGCTCTGTTGAGAAGATGTTTCTCAATGGCAATGTCACCTGTTTGCTTTGGGAAGGTTTTTTTTACTAGTTCATGTACAGAGCAGTAATTATTAGGAGTAACTGTAAGGAGCAGTGCAAGCCACACTTGGTTTACTCCTCAGGGTATCAGCACCATTGCTGTGTTCTGGGGGATTAAAACATTCACACACTGCTCTGTCTAAACAGAAAGGTCAGAAGTGGAAGGAGATGGTATCTGCCCTTTCTTGGAAATGACTCAGTAATTGGGGAAGGCAATGTGCTTTGAGGATTGTGCATTGTGTTAGAGACAAGGGAATTCCAGACCTGGTATTTAACAGCCCTGGTTTTTCTACAGGAGTTAGCATTGTACATCTCATGCCAACTTGGGCTTTCTGGGCAAGAAATGCCTCTTTAAATAGCAGATTGCTTTCAGAACAGGTTCTGTGCTGAGCTGGCATGCCAGCTCCTCACTCATGAGAGTTGGAGCTGCTGAGTTTGCAGGTGGGGGGGAAAGAATGAATCCTGGAGTCAGAATTGCATCCAGAGTTACAGACACTTTTTAGGAAATACAGTACACACCTTCCCTGGTGGTGCTGGTGATTCAGAGCTCTGCATCACACAAGAGAATTGCCTACTTTAAAGTTCATCTTAAATTTCTTCTCAGACTGATTGAGAGGTCAGTTATTTCTGGTAATCCTGCCTGTCCCACTGGCACTAAGGGAAGGAGAATTGTGAGCATTTGGAAGGTTGGTTGTTTTTTCTTTGTTGTTGTTTTGTTTGTTTTGTTTTGGTTTTTTGTTTTGTTGTTGTTTTTTTAATGTTCTTAGAAATGACATCTAATAATAAACAAAATGCTGCTCTTCTTTTTCTGTGTATTGGTCTTTTCAGATTCATGCATCTTCTTCAAATTGGATTTTTTTTTCAGTTGTGTTTTGTTGTTGCCAGTTGTATGGTACTATAACCAAAGGAAAACAGCACTACAGAACAAAAAAGATGAAATCAGGTCTTTACAAGTGAAAAAGAGGTCTGATTGCAAAGAGTTGTAGTGGAGGTCTGTTCCTTCTAAAGGAAAGCAAGAGTTAATGACTTGTGCAAAAAAAAAAGTCATTGTAATTATGGAACACTATAAATTATGATACTGTTGTTCATAGATTTGTTACACCTTGTAGGAACAGAGAATCAGTCTCAGCCTATCAGTTTTGGATAGTTAATTTATGCAAGGAAGAATGTGGGTGTTAATCTTTACAACCCACTGACATTAAGTTAAAAAATTACTGTCATCCATTTATCATGATGAGGTGAAGTTACAGATTCATAAATTAAAATGTGCTGTTGCATTTGATGCATGAATTTCCAGGAAACTGGTTTTGTTCTGCTTGTAATTGCATTCATGGTAGTAAATCTGAAGTTTTATCCTCAACCCTCTGCTCTTGTAAGCTGACTCTTAGTGTCTTCTCTCTCATACAATTAGCCTGAAACAGACTTTGAGGCTCATTTCCTAATGTTGGTTCTTCTGTGTTATTTTAATACTCTTTTCTTCAAAACTGCCTTAGTAAACCTAGTGGGTGTAGGTAGAAAATCTGAAATGTCAGTATTTCCTTCCTTTGTGTGTATGTTTTCTGCTCCTGATGATGGTGTGTAATTGCCATGACAGGCTAATTGCAATTATTAAGTATTTCAATTTTGTCATGTGTTAGAAAAATGGTAAGAAAAGGCTTGGATCTTTTAGTCCCAGAATTAACTTTTGCAAGGACCATATAGGTAAGATCTGAAGTGTGTTTATATATAATAAATTCTCAGGACTTGTGATTTTTGTTTTTTCCTTTCTGAAGAATTGGGACCAATTAGTGACTCCTGACAAGAAGGACAAGAGCCATAGTTCACTTTCCTGTGGTATTCTTGTTCTGGGGTGATGGGCAGGCTTTCAGAGCAGATCCTGGGGAATCTTCCACATTTCTCCCACCAAATGGAGTAGAGAAGATTGCACTCCAAATGTGAAGTGTGCAGGGAATTCTTGAAAAGTCTGAAATCATGCAAGCTAGATATTTTTTGCAGTCTTGTAGTCTTTCCCTTGGAACCTAAAAGTTATTTTTTCCAAGCATGGTGGGAAACAGTATGATGCCACCATGTTAGACCAAAAGTTGCCTTTTAATGTAAACCTTTGCCATCAGGAACCTTTAATTCAAGGAAAGCAGCAAAAGACTGGATGTCAGAGTAAAGCTGTTGGAGAAAATCCTTTTTGTGGGTGCAAACAGTCTTATGGCCATCCACATCGCCTAAGAGACCATATTTTTGACTGCTTTTGTTTGATTTCAGTGAAGATTTCTCAGTTAAACACCAGCAAAAATAATCAGGAGAAAGAACCTACCTTATGTATTTTATCCACAGGGCTGGTTTTGAATTTACCATCACAGAGAGGGAGCAAATGCCCAGCTTCACTTCTTTCCCCAACATTTACAGTCCCACATCTGCAGCCCGAGCTGCTGCTGCTGCAGTTTCTACTGCAGTGGTTGATTAGGAAGGAGTGGCTCAGGGGGAATTTGTCACCATGTGGGGTAGCATGTACGAAATAGCAGAATAGAGAAGCAGAGTTAAAGACTAACAAGGATTAGAAGAGAGCGCTGAAGATTGTCTGCTAAAGCATCTTGTGCAGAGCAGGGCAAACTTCCAATTTCCTGCAGAAATTCAGTTCGAGAATTCTTCAGTTATATGTGGTCCAAATCTTGGTTTGAATTTGGTCTTAGCTGTTATTGTACAACAAATCTTAAGCAATGCAACACAACTAGTATTAATCTACTGCAATAAAATGTGAAAAACGTCTGCTTGGCAAATCCCTTCTCCTGCTTGCATCACTGAGAGAAGAATGAAGTTCTTCTGAATCACACCAATTGAGAGTAGATTCATGTAAGTGTATTTCCATAAATTTTTTTTTTCAGGATGGAGAATGGGGCTAGAGAAGGAAGCACTGACCCAGTGCTTCATTATTTCTGTGTAGTACTAAACCAGTTGAGCACTTTTAGAAAAGATCCTGACAGAAACCTCTTGGTTTGTTTGTACTAATTCTTGGCTGGATTGCACAGAAGTCAGTTTCTGTTCAGTAATGTTCTTCTCCAGCCTGTCCAGGCTTTAAGGGTTATTTTTGGTTTTTGTTGCATTCTTTGGAAGAGCTACATGAGATGGACTTTTGTGTCTCAGCTGTATTCCTGTGTATATTGTTGGTGTTCTTTGTAGGCTTTATGTTAATGTCTGTTTGTGATTGATGGCTAAAACACTGAGTGGAGGCTGAACAGTTCTTCACTCGTGTTCTCCTGGGCTCAGGTACCATTGATAGCACTGAGCTCTTGTCAGTCTTACCACACTTTATCCTTAAGAGGCCTTGAATTAGACAGTTGCAGGCTTTTCATATCATCGTCTCTGCATTAGTATCAAGCCGGTGTTTGTTAGGAATCATAACTTTTTAAGAAAAGTAGTTGTTAAGTAGGTGATTTAATTTTTTTTACCAAGTCTGATGAGCATTTCTTGCTCCATCTCCAGCTGAATACATTTCCTAAGCTTAGTCTCCCTTGTTTTTCTTTGGTACTCAGTGGCCAGAGAAGCTCATTTT